GCTGGAGGTGTGGGATAGAGATCAGCTGGAGGTGAGCTGAGAGGAGAACCAGGATGGGCAGGAGCCAGCAGAAGCGAGCGCAGCACGCGCCTCTCCATCCATGCCCGTCGGAACTGCTCCCACATCTCAGGCGAGCTGTCAGAGTTGTCAGCCCTGGTGTACTTGGAGATGACATCCTCCACAGCGATGATCCTTTCCCAGAGATCGCTGGGGCTGCAGGGTTCCTCCCCCCCAGCGACAGGTACGCAGGGGAGTACGGCTTCCTCCCCCCCGGCGACAGGTACGCAGGGGTGTACGGCTTCCTCTCCCCCAGCGACAGGTGCGACGTCCTCCCCCCCACGAAGGGAAACACACGGGCATGGACTGGGTTGCGTCTGAGGAGGAACGTGCTGGAGTTCGGTGGAGCCGGCTCGGTTCTGCCGCCCTTTCCTCCTGCGGTGAGTCTGAGAAGACTGCCCCCCTCCCTTTGAAGACCGCTCCAGGAAAGCAGGAGGTGGTTGGGGAGGAGGTGGGTTGCGAGGAGCTGCCGCTCTGTGATAAGGTGAAGAAAGGTGAGGTGGTGAGGCAAAAGACCCAGTTTTAAAAGCCAGGCGCGTACCTAGGTACAAAGTCTTTTTCCTCTCCTCCTCCTCACGCCGAGCAGTTTTCGCTGCCTTGCGGGCCAGGAACTCAAAAAGAGTGATCTTCTTGCTGGGTTCGGTCTGGTCTCTGGATTCTATCATGATCGGCTTCCGTGTGTAGAACCCAAAGTGCAGGAAGACGAATGAGGCTCCAGTAAATAAGTAAAATAGTTTATTAATTAAATAAACAAAACAAAATGCTGACGGGGCAGCTAACTTACTTAAAGGAGGATAAGAGGAGAGACAGGTCATGAAGCCTTAGGACAAGGACAATCCAGAGACACTGACAAGACACCAAGGGGCTGAATATATACAGACACTAACAAGGTGAAATGAGTGACACCTGCGGTGATTAGGATTAGACACAGGTGTGACAGTGCTGGAACACAGGAGGAGAAAAGCTGAGGGGTGACAGGCAAACATGAGGGAAAACACAACATGTAAGACCCCAGAAACCCTAAAAATGGGAGGCAGATCTTTCAGTTATCAGGCTCCTCTCTTGTGGAACCAACTTCCAATCTCTGTCCGTGAGGCTGACACATTATCCAGTTTTAAAACTAGGCTTAAAACTCTTTTTTTTCTAAATCCTATAGTTAGGGTCGGCATGGGTTTCCTGAGCTGTCCCTTAGTTATGCTACTATAGGCTTAGACTGCTGAAGGACAAACTGACCACAATTTTCACTCTGCTACTGTCTTTACTTATTCTGCTCAACCTGTTTTGTATTTGTAATTGTTTTTTCTATCCTTAACGTGCTTTTTTTGTCTTGCAGATACACCTGGACCTATACCTGGACCTACCATTCTGTGTTTGTCTGTCTCTCCTTCCTGTCCTCTCAACCAGCTGGTCAAAGCAGATGGACACTTGTCCTGAGCCTGGTTCTGCTGGAGGTTTCTTCCTTTTAAAAGGGAGTTTTTCCTTTCCACTGTTGCCACTGTGCTTGCTCAGGATGGGAGACTGCAACAAAGCCAAGATTCATCTTGTCTGCTAGATTCCTTAGATAGAGAACTTTACTAATAGGATTTTATGTACAGTATGTGAATGTTTCTGTAAAGTGCCCTGGGACAACTTTGTTGTGATTTGGCGCTATATAAATAAACTAAACTGAATTGAATTGTTATTCGTTCCTTCAAGGACAACTACGTCTTTAGTTTGACTCTGCTGTGGTGGAGCTGCGACCTGCCCAGGGTGTACCCTGTCTCACATAATGACTGAATGGAGATAGGCACCAGCTCCCTGAAAGTCTGAACAGAAAAGTGGGCACAGTAAGTAGATGTGTAAATTTTCAACCTAATATCAGCTCCAAGCAAAAAACCCTGCATGTTCAGGTATACCAACACCCATCAAAGGTTTCACTTTGGAGCAGTTATTTATTATTAATCTTTATTTAATCAGGCAAATCCCACTGAGATCACAGATCTCTTTTGCAAGGGAGGACTGGGCCTGAAGACAGACTAACATTCATGTTTTTGGTCTGTGGGAGGAAACCGGAGTACCTGGAGAAAACCCATGCAAGCACGAGAAGAACATGCAAACTCCACACAGAAAGACCCCAAGTCCAACCGGGGATTGAACCCAGGACCTTCTTGCTGTGAGGCAACAGTGCTAACCAATGAGCCATAGTGCTGCCACACATTTAGCTCTCATCAGATCACAGTTGTCCTCACACTTCTTCTTTCAGCTTTCCCCTCTTCAGGGGTCTCCACAGCGAGTCCTCCTCCTCTTCCATGTCCTCTCTAATTGCATCCATGTATCTCCTCTTTGTCTTTTTCCTGGCAGCTGCATTTCTAACATACCCAAACCACTGTCCCTCCTCTGGACATGTCCAAACCACTGTCTCTCCTCTGGACAAGTCCAAACCACTGTCCCTCCTGTGTACATGTCCATACCACTGTTCCTCCTCTGGACATGTCCAAACCACTGTTCTTCCTCTGGACATGTCCAAACCACCATCCCTCCTCTGGACATGTCCAAACCACTGTCCCTCCTCTGACATGTCCAAACCATCTCAGTCTGGTCTCTCTAACTTTATCTCCCAGTTGTTCAACCTGTGCTGTACCTCTGATGATCTCATTCCTAATCTTCTCCATCCTTGTCTCTCCTAAGGAGAACCTCAACATCTTCATTACTGCCACTTCCAGTTCTGTCTCCTGTCTTTTTGTTCATGTCTCTGTCTCCAGACCATACAACATAGCTGGTCTTACCACTGTCTTGTAAACTTTTCCTTTGACATTTGCTGACACCCTTTTGTCACAAATGACTCCTGAAAATTTTCTCCATCCACTCCATCCTGCCTGGAATCTCTTCTTCTCCTCTTTACCACACTCCCCATTTTCCTGGACAGTGTACCCCAAATACTTGAAGTCCTGCACCTTTACGACCTCTGCTCGTTGTAGCCTCACTGTTCCACCGGCCTCCTTCTCATTCACACACATGTATTCTGTCTTACTACAACTAACTTTCATTCCGCTTTTTTCAAGTGCATACCTCCACCTTTCCAAATTCTCTTCCACCTGTTCCTTGTTCTCACCACAGATCACAATGTCATCTGCAAACATCATAGTCCACGGGGATTCCTGCCTGACCTCATCTGTTAGTCGGCCCTCAGTTATCCTCACTAAACACTCTAATATGACCAGGCACTAACTATTATAGTTTCACAGAACAGTTTTAATAAATGGGTCCTTGATAAATATTCTGGCCCACAGAGAGTGCCCTGTGGTGCATTCTTTATCCATGAGGAGGGTGGGAGCCTTTCCTTGGACAGGCACCACATGAGATGTAAGAGGGTTTTGCATCAATTGTTGGTTAACAATAGTGGAGGAGTTCAAGTATCTTGGGGTCTTGTTCACGAATGAGGGAAAAATGGAGCGTGAGATCGATAGGCAGATAGGTGCAGCGTCTGCAGTGAAGCAGGCGCTGTACAGGTCTGTCATGGTGAAGAGAGAGCTGAGTCAAAAGGCGAAGCTCTCAATTTACCGATTGATCTACGTTCCTACCCTCATCTATGGTCACGAGCTTTGGGTTGTGACCGAAAGAATATCTCGGATACAAGCGGCCGAAATGAGTTTTCTCCGCAGGGTGTCTGGGCTCTCCCTTAGAGATAGGGTGAGAAGCTTGATCATCCGGGAGGGACTCAGAGTAGAGCCGCTGCTTCTCCACGTCGAGAGGAGCCAGTTGAGGTGGCTTGGGCATCTGTTTAGGATGCCTTCTGGATGCCTCCCTGGTGAGGTGTTCCGGACACGTCCCACCGGAAGGAGGCCCAGAGGAAGACCCAGGACATGCTGGAGGGACTATGTTTCTCGGCTGGCCTGGGAACGCCTCGGGATTCCCCTGGAAGAACTGGCCCAAGTGGCTGGGGAGAGGGAAGTCTGGGCCTCCCTACTTAGGCTGCTACCCCCACGTCCCAACCCCGGATAAGCGGAAGAAAATGGATAGATGGATGGATGGATGGATGGATGGATGGATGGATGTTTGTTAACATCTGGTTGTGAAGCTCTGTTGTTAAAGGCTTTTATATTCTTAATGTAAAACTGCAATGACAGATTATTATTAATGTTTTTGACTATTTATTATTTCAGAGCACCATGAAAGGTGGACAGTGATGTACAGATGAATCCAGATGTTACTGCTCACTTAAAAAAAAGAAAAACAACTGTTTGTTTTCTAACTACCTCACATTAAATCAGACTAAAACATTCCTGTTTTTTTAGTTAAGAATTTCAGAATTATTTCTATTTGTAAATGCTTGAATGGTAACAATAGGTTCATTATTATTTTCTTTTATTACTTTTTTTTAAAAGTCACCAGGTTACATACATTATAGCTTCAGAAGCTTCTGATTGGTTAATTAACAAAATGTGAATTAATTGGAGGCACACCTGAAAACACACTGACCCCAGTTCTGCTGGACGTTTATTCTCATTTAAAGCGTTTTTTATTTGTCCCTTCCATTGCTGCCAGTGTCCTGCTCAGTATGATCACAGCGAAGAGCAACTTGCTGACGTCCTTAGATCATTTTTACTGGTTGTCATGGACTGTGAATGTTTTAGAGCTGTTCTCTGATATGGCAACTAGAGTGAATTAGCGCTTTATAAACAAACTGAATTTAATTTAAACAATCAAAACTTTGTTGATGTTAAACCAACAAAAACAGCAAAAGTGTTTAATTTCAACAGAACATTTAGAGCTTTAGTGACGGTCTTTAAAAATGTGCCTGTTCTATAAACTCATTCCAGGCTTTTGTTAAAAAGTGCATCACTTATGAACTTAAAATTTACTCTAGATTTCATAATTATCACAGTCTCTTTATAACATGTCAGGCTGTTTTATACATTATACCAATGAAACTAAAGAATTTAAATGTTTTCTGATTAACTCACTTAATTTCATTGGCCATGTCATCCTCGTTTTCTTGTCGTCTCTTGAAAAAAAACATAAAAATAATGCAGACAAAGAGGAGGAAGATGAAGCCCAGCACTGATCCCGCTGTCGCGCCAATAATCATTCCAACTTTATTGGCTGAAATCATAAAGCACAAAGTGAAAACGTGTCAAAAATAAAGCGTGCACTCCATAAAGATGCTGAACCTGAAAAACTGTTCATCTTTATTCAACACGTAGAAAGTTTTGATCAGCTCTGAGCTGCTTACAGCCAACTATCTCCAGGTTGATGAAGCAAGTCTCTGATCCAACTGTGTTGCTCGCATTGCACACGTACTTCCCTGACATGTTGCTGCTCAAGTTGCTCAACTTCAGCATCCCAGTCTTCTCATCTGAAACAACAGGGGGACTTGAGTCAACATTTCGTGCAGAAACATATCAGCCACATAAAGTACTATCAATAAAGAAGTGACATAAGACATTGATTTCTCTACCGCCACATTATTATTGCCCGTTGCTGAACGGTGAGAGATGAGTGATGATGTTTTACTTCCCTGGGATTGCATGCATAAAATTGTTGCACATACAAATGCAACTAGAGAAATTGCATTTCCTGCGAAAATGCAGTGTAAAAAAAAAAAATAAAAATAAAAAAATAATACATTCTGAAATGTAGCTGAAATGAAAGAACAAGACTAAATTAGCAGAAGAAAGCAGGAAGAACACATATTTACTGAATTAGTAAAAAAAAAAAAAAGAAGTTAATACCTAGGAAAACTTGAATTTATCTGAAAACAGCTAAAATTAGCAAAAAAAAGTATAAAAAAGGTAGCTGAAAAAGTAGAACGAGTTTAAATTAGCATAATTTTCCCAATTAAGCTGAAAGAAGCAAAAATGAGCACAGAAAGTGAAAATTATCTGAAAAAAACTTAAATTAGCACAAAAAACAGCTGAAAGTAGCTAAAAAGGCAGAAAGAAGATGAAATTATAAGAAGGAAGTTGAGAGAGTACATTTTTGCTGAATTGGGCTGAAAAAGGTTGAGTGCAAAAAATGTGGAATTAGCTGAAAAAGCTTAAACTAGCATAAAACAGCTAAATAGTAGCTGAAATAGCAGAAAAAGCTGAAATTTGCAGAAATAATCTGAAAGGAGCATAACAAACTGAAATAAACAGAAAGAAGTTAGAAGAAGCACAAAAGTGATATAGTTAGCAGAAAAAATTTGGAAAAGAGCACAAAACAATTAGCTGAAATTAGCTTAAAATAGTTTAAATTCGCAGATAGATGCTGAAGCAGAATGAAACGTGAAAGGAGCAGTGAAAGGTTGAAAACAGATCTGAAGCTCTGAAGGATGTAAAATGAGCTCAGTTCATTATCTGAGAAAAAAAATGGCAAAAAAGGCTAACTATTTCAAAAAAGCTAAAGTTGTACCAATACCAAAAGTCATAACAGGATTGTCCAGAAAGAGCTGAATGTTTTGATTTATTTGTTGAAATGGCTTGAAAATTGCAGAACGACAATCGTGCCAAAAAATGCAAGGAAGAAAAATGGACCACAATTGTGTGAATGCTTCATAAACATTCACATGATTATATTTGCATATTACATTTGCAAATTACATATTTGTCTACAGATGACATAACTTTTGGAGACAGCCCAATTCAAGATGGCTGCCACAGCCAACAGACCCTAAAAACTACAAAAACCTCCTAAGATTTGGTTCTAACCGATTTTGAGCTCTAACATTTTCATGAGTTCCCTGAAAGTGAATCCAGTTCCCCACAGGAAAGTTCCAGTGCTGGTTTTAAGTCCCGCCCCCTCCATGTCAATCACTGGGACATTGCACTTGCTAAAATAAAAAATACACTTCAGGTGATAATTTTTTGTTCAAATGTTGACTTTTTGTTGAGTTGTAGTAGTAGGCACCACCTCTGTTTTAGAGGAAAAAGCAGTCTCATTTAACCCCAAATTAATGTAAACTGAAACGTGAGTTCTTTCTTGTGTTTAAAGGACATCAAATCAGTTAATACACACAGATATGCCGAAATAATCACAAATTCAGTTGATTTTATGTATTTTATTATAAAAATAATAATCTGTGATATATGTGATGATAAATTATGCATAACAAACAAATGAATAACAAATAGCTTTGTATCAAAGATCTAATTGATTATTCAAATCAGTGAAACTTAAAAAGGCAGATTTTGGACTGGTTCTGTTTGTGGAGTAGTTAAAATTATGTCTAAAGTGAGCTGTAGTTTGTCTGATAAGAGTATTGTGATGTATGATCACCAGAAGTGCATTGAAGAGTCTCTCTCACCAGAACGAGATGTCAGAATGTTCCACAGCTGCTTAAAATGATACCAGCAAGGCCTGAGATGCTCCGGTGACTGAGAGGCTGATTTTTCCTCAAAGTTCACCTATCATCTGTTGGAGGGACGTAGGTCCGGCCACTGGCTCTGAAGTCAGCTGGGATTTAACACTCTGCGGTGTGATGGTTCTGGTTCGGTCAGGTTCTGCAGGGTTTCGTCTGTATCTTTTGTCCCATCTCTATGCAGAAAGGATGCTTCTCTTCCATGTAGAAACTGAGTTTCTCTCCCAGTTCCGAGCTCAAGTGAAGTCTTCATGAGACGAAGCCTCAGTCAGTGTGTAGCAGAATTTGAGAATTAGAAGTTGAAGAAGAAGTGAAGTAGTGCTTGTAGAAAGAGATTTTAGAAGAAGTGAAACTTAACTTAACTGTCTGTGTGTTTCAGAGATGAAGGTCCGCCTCTCAGAAGAGGTGATCCTAACTCTTTGTCATGTTTTATAAAGTCTAAAGTCCATTTTCTCTGTCTGCCTTTAAAAGTTACTCTTCTTTTAAAAGAGAAAAATAAGACAAATGATTATCTTAAAGATTATTTAACACACGTTTTCATGAAAAAAACATTCAGTTATGACTTTTTTGAAATAACATGCAATGTCCATCAAAAGGTGTGGCTGTTCATCTTCTGCAAAGAAAATGTCATTAACAAAGGGATCTTTAAAATGTGTTATCTGCATGGGAACCCATCCTGGGAGTAATACTCCTTTTTGATAAAGGTAAAGTCTCAGCAGATGTTTCAACTTTGAGGTCAGTTGAACCAAAACTCATTAAAACGATCTCTCCATTTCATGTGAAATGAGTTCATATTGGCAGAGGTTAACACAGTGAAAGTTTTATTTTTATTAAAATACATTCACATTAGTGTCAACTAAGAAGTTTGTGAGCTGAGATGAACACCTGTAAAACAAAGTCTGTTTGTTCCCAAGGGAATAGATGCATCTTATTTTAAACAGTTTCAAACACAAACTTGACTTCCGGTAAGATGGCGCCTGTGTACATGGCTTGCAATCCACCTCTGCTGATGGTGTTCGTATTTTTGGTGTTTTTTTCATTTCTCATCTGTGACATCAACGCTCTGCTGGTGTATGAACGAAAACAACTTTTGGATCTTCGACCTTGTGGCACCAATGTTGCTTATTTTGATCAACACAAGCGTAACTCTGGACCCCCCATGTCCCCCCGCTGCTGGTGGACGTGCCTGCTTACCTACAGCGAGGCGCGCACCTGCCTCCCCGGAGACGTCGCTCTAGACGCCGTGGAAAACGCGCTGGCCGGCTGGTGAAACTTAAAGCCCTACTTGCTGCCTCTGAAACATCCTCTCCAGCTGACGGTGAGCGTTTCCACCTCCGCTCCTGGCCCTGTGGTGCGCTGTCTGGTCCCGCTGTCGGGGTTCCATCATCACACTGGGCCCGTGCGCGGCTGGGTTTCCCGCTGGAGGCGCGCGTCTAACTCTGCAAATCTGAGGCCGCTGGACTGGACACTGCAACCATCTCCTCCTGTGGTGGATTCTACGAGGATGGCCCTGATAAATGCCATATCGCTGGCTAATAAAACTTTTATTTTGAACTACATTTTCTGATGCAACCGACTGGACTTTCTTTTCATCACTGAGACTTGGATCTGCCCTGGTGAGTTCAGTGTTTTTCTGGAATTACTACCTCCGGATTGTTCTTTTTTCAATGCTCCAAGGACAACTGGTCGTGGTGGAGGATTATTGGCTGTTTTTAAGAAACATTTGCACTGCAGACAGCTCCCTGGTTCAGCTAATTATTCGAGTTTTGAACTGCTCTGTTGTGAGCTCCAACCCAGTTCTGTGTGCTATTTTTTTACAGACCCCCCGGATACCATAAACAGTTTTTAAACTAACTATCTGACTTTCTAACTGGTATTCTGCTCCTATATGATCGGGTTTTGATTTTAGGAGACTTTAATATCCACATGTGCTGCCCTGATAAACCTTTAGCTCAGGACTTTCTAGACCTCATCCAGTCCTTTAACTCCTTTAACTTTGTTCAGAGTGTTGTTGGTCCGACTCACCAGCAGGGCCACACTCTTGACTTAGTTTTAACACATGGTTTGTCTGTTTCTGATTTAGAAATTGGTGACACTGTTTGTTCCGACCACAACCGGTTTTATTCAACACCTCATTGATTTGTGAACCTGCACCTCCCCCCACACCCAAGCCCTGTAGGATTTTTAACCCTTCCACTGCCACACTCTTCTCTTCCATCTTTGCTGGTAATTCTGTTTCAGACTCTGAACTCTCTGCGGGTCTTACTACAAAGGAGTTGCTTTCTCAGCATCAGGAGGCATGTGTACAGATCCTGGACTCAGTCTCCCCGTTAAAGCTCAGGAATCAAAAACGCATGCCCCACCCTTGGGTAAATGAGACTACACGAGAGGCAAGACGCTTGTGCAGAAGAGCTGAATGTCGATGGAAAAAAGATAAACTTCAGGTGTCTTTTGAGATGTTAAAAACATGTTGGAAAGCCTATCAGACCACCGTTAAACAGGAGAAAAACAAATATTTCTCAAAAATGATCAACTCAAACAGTCACAACCCCCGGGTTCTTTTCAACACCATTAACACCATTCTAAACGTGCCTCAGTCTGCCACCATTGAGGCCTCTGTTGACAACTGTAATAAGTTTGTCAGGCATTTTGTTGAAAAGATTGAGTCGATTAGGTCATCAATTCCACACTCCACAGCTGACCCTGTAACGAGTCTGTATGGATCAGCACAACACCTGACTCAGGACAAAATTAAAATAAAAGGTTTTATTTTATTAAAGGCGTTCGTCTGAAGGATCTGAGCCTCAGTTCTGGTCCAATCTATGAAGACAGACAGGTTAGTGACTGCAAAAAGGTTCTGGGAGCTGAGAGAGGTGGTGTGCACGTCACTAACCTTCTGTGGCAGGAGCAGAGCTGAGACAGAGAACGTTGGAGGGCTGGACAGGAAACAGAATCCAGGGACGTAGCAGGGGTCGAGAGCCAGGAGCTGTGTGAACAGGCAAAAGGATGATCCGTAG